ATCTGTCATCGCTCGAAACAATTAAAGCTTATGGAAGATTTTGCGGAAGAATCATGCCGAACGACCAAGGGCCCAAACAATAATGGAAGCTGACACCGATTTCCACAAGAAATTTTTTTTGGTTGATGAAGCTCATTTTTTGTTGAATGGGTAACTTAATAAACAAAATTGTCGAATTTGGCGTGGTGATAATCCACAAGACATTGTTGAGACGCCATGACCTCCTCAAATAGGCACTGTTTGGTGTGCTCTATGGGCAGATGCATATTCTTCAACTACGCTACATGCCATAAGGCTAATGAAACAGTTAATTTATTAAAGGAAGCTTTTGCTAAGCGCATTATATCGCTTCGTGGGCTTGTGGCGTGGCTTTCAAGATCGCACAATTAAATACCGTTGGACTACTTTTTGTGGCCTTATCCCAAGATGATTCGGCGTGTTATTATGTTATGGAGTACAGTTTTTTTGATTTGATTGTGAGACTTCTGATATTGAGGCAGATTCAGTAAATAAATTCAAATGTTAAAAAAAAAAAACAATTATTGACATACTGTGCTGGTTGTTGCAAAAAGTGGTTGAATATCGAGGCTCTCGCCGTGCGCGAAATTATTTTTAAAACAAAATGGCAAACCCGCGTCTTTATAACAAACCCAAATTTCCAGCCATAACATTATACTAAATGCATTTTATTTCTTCTTGCCAAGCCACATGCTTTAAAAAGCACCCTTTTCCAAAGGCGACGGTGTAGTTTAAAATTTAATCAAGCTCGACAGTAATTTATCACTTGCAACCGGAAGACTCATATGGAAACTACAAACATTTTGAATTTTACATACTTTTACTTTACTTTTGTAAAAACTAACACTACTCACATACATACATATATATAATATCTATAAACACTTTTACTCTTATCCACTGAACAGCACATAAAATGCGTGATTATTGAACAACCCTCAGCTAAATACACACCGCATAACCTATGCTTTAAGGCTAAAGACTACATATGTACGAGTACATAATAGATAAATTACGGCTAAAATGTTAATTGATTTGTTTTGTATTTGTGTGTGTGTGTTTTTTTTTTTTTTTTAAATAATCGGACCGAACTCAACACTCAAAACATGATCCTCATGTCGTCTCTTTGGCCAATTGGCACCTTTACCAAAATTTCCTTCAGTTATCGAATATTCATATATGTATACACATATGTATGTTTGCATGTATGTATGCTATTTAAAGTTTTACACATGCGTGCCGTCGCGATTCTGTGAGTTTCTTTGTTGTTTATTTCGTTTTTTTTTTTTTGTTTTTATGACAGGCGTCACGCGAATCGGCATTATCAACCAATAACAACTATAAACTTCGCTACTTGGTTTTGTAGGTGACAGATGTATTGTACAATAAGTTGTATAACAGAAATTTATTAAATATACATATATATATATATATATATGTATATGTCATATATACACTTATAGATGCGCTAAATATAATATTTGGCTTTGGTTTTAATTGCTCAGATGTGCGTTTAATTATTACGAATGCTTACGTGTTGCTTAAATGTATGCATGTATGTATGTGTAATTGTAGTTGTTATTTGTATGCATAACTTTATATTGTTTACAGTTGACATAACTGTTGGCAGCCTTTCCGAAGAGTTTGAGGAAGTGTCTAATGGCATACATACAGATATTTGCTTTGTAACCGCTGAAGTGGTTTTCGGCTGAGCTCCACCTCCACTTTGTGGTTTGGGGTCTTGATGTTTATTTGGATACTTATGCCGTAAAAATTTTGGTACCATACGGTCCACCTTAATCGCTAAGTACTGAAATTGAATCAGCTTCGTTTCGTCGGTGAGCTGTCTGCTGGGACATAGAGAAAGTTTATCAGTGTGGCTTTAGACCTGGTAAATCAACTATTGACCAGATAGTCAGTATGTGTCAAATCTTGGAAAAGACCCGTGAAAAAATGATCGACATACACACGCTTCGTTGATTTTAAAGATTAGAATTTGGTATCCCCACAAAACTTATACGGCTGTGTAAACTGTCCTGAAGCAACACTAAAAGCTCCATCAGAATCGGGAAGGACCTCTTCGAATCGATCGATACCAAACGAGGTTTCAGACAAGGTCTTAAGAGCCAGATAGAGATAATACAATATTTTGCAAGAGTACAACTGCTGCTGTATGCTGATGACATTGATATCTTAGCTCTTAATAACCGCTTGTCCAAGCTTGTCAAGGAAGCAAAGCTAATAAGTCTCCTACTGAATGAAGACAAGACGAAATATATCATGCCATCGAAAAAAAAGTCGTTGCATTCGCGACATGGCTCCCAAGTCACTGTTGATAGTCATAACTTGTAGGTCGTAGATAATTTCGTCTAACTAGGAACCAGCATCAACACTAATAATAATTTTAGCCTTGAAATTCAATGCAGAATCACTCTCATCATAACCTTCCTACTATATGTTGCAGAAGCGTCGACTATGTCAATATCTGATGAGCCGGCCCTGGAAGTCTTCGAGAGAAAAGTTTTGCGAACGATTGATGGTCCTTTGCGCATCGGCAACGGCGAATAACGTAGACGATGGAACGCTGAGCTGTACGAGCTATACGATGATATTGACATAGTCCAGCGAATGAAGAGACAGCGGCTTCGCTGACTAGGTCATGTCGTCCGAATGAATTAAAGCACTCCAGCTTTGAAAGTATTCGATTCATTGCCTGCTAGTGAAAGCAGAGGAAGAGGAAGGCCTCCACATCGCTGGAAGGATCAGGTGGAGAGTGAAAAGGTTTCCAACTGGCGCCAAACAGCTAAAAGAAAGGAATGAATGATGCGATATTATTGATTCGGCTATAATCGCGTAATCGGTGCCAACGGCAATAAAGAAGAAGAATTAAGCGAGATGAACAGCGTGAAGCCAAGGGGTGTTGCAACAGACTCAATGATATCGGCAAAACTAACGCTTTACAATGCGATCATCTTTCCGGTGCTTCCATAAGGGGCAGAAGCGCGAGTTGTGTAGCAGACAGTTGTAACCGGGCATTGAGGCAAGATCACGCTTGACTCAGGGACGCCTAGCGAATGCTGTGGCGTGGTGGGTATCTCACCTTAGTAAGTAAGTAAACAAAGTCCCATATTACAGACTGTCTATTTTTGAACGAACTGGGGAATTCGTAAAGAAAACTTAATGTTTTCCAATGGATATGATATAGATACGGTAGATGATAGTGGTGTAAATAACGGGGTGACAATAGATTGATTGGTTGCCCATTTTTATACCATACATATAAATTAAATTGTATTTAAACTTTGGACTGAAGTATGTAAGTATCAGAAGGAGAAGAGATAGAAGATATACACCCATTAAAATGTATACCGATAAGATCGTATAGACGAGCTGAGTTGATTAAGCCACGACCAACTGTTGTCCGACTGTTTATGAGCAAAATATTAGGTCTACAACTTTGCTTCCGCCGTTTTTTTCCAAAATTAAAAGCTTTATTGCGAAAAAGTGCTTACAGATATATTATTTAAAGTATTGTCCTTCACTAGCGACAACTTTCTCCCATCTTTCCGGCAATTTTCGGATCCCGGCACGAAAAAAGGAGTCCTCTTTTGACGCTATCCATGAAGCAATCCATTTTTCCAATTCTTTGAAGGATTGAAAATGTTGATCTGCCAGGCCGTGTGCCATCGAACGGAATAGGTGGAAGTCAGAAGGGACGACATCTGGGGAATTGGGGTCTTCAGTTTTAGGAAGGGGAAAAAGTCAACTGAGGCCACGTCCCGTGAATACGTTGGCTGAGACATGAGATCGGTTTTGTTTTTGGACAAAAACTAATGGTGCAAAATTAATGGTTGTTTTTTCCCCAATTCCTTGCGTTTCTGACGGATTGCTTTCCGCGAACGGCGCATAGCTTCTAGATAATATTTCTTATTAACCATACGACCTTGAGGCAAAAATTCATGATACACCACGCCATTCCAGTCGAAGAAAACAATGAGCAAAACCTACACTGAGCATTGTGATTGACATCTTCTCGACTTTTCTTAAGCCGGTTATACCATAATTGAACTTGTGCTCTGCTCATAGTAGACTCATTTTTTACACAAAACCTAATACAGTTTCTTTGATCCATTTTTTTGAATAGTAAAAAATCCAAGGGAATGTCCACCCCTCCGAGTGTGTTTCGGACATTAAATAAAGCTCCTCATAAAAATCATCTGCTGTACGGAGGCGGCTTAGTTTAAGCTGTAGTTCCCTCCATCTATTGGGAAAACATCAAGACGCAAAACCACAAATTGGAGGAGGAGCTCGGCCAAATAAAATCGCTGCAGCGGTTACAAAGCGCCTTATATATATATTATAAAAAATCGAAGAGCACACGACTAACCTTTTTATTTGTTGAAAACAAACTGGCAATCCAAAATGGCTAATATTGCCAACATATATAACGGACATGACGTGACATAACAGAAAAAAACGAAAATCGAACATACGTAACTCACGAAATCTGAAAATAACGGATATTTTATGATCACATCTCGTATAAACGACCGATTTTCCAGATTCGTGCCTATAAATACAATAAATTTTAACAGAAAATCGTCTAATCGGAAAATTTAACCAAAAAATCTATATACAGCCAATTTATTCAGGTAGGAGGTTTTGGTTAAAAAGAGTCCTTTAAAAAAGCTTCGGAGAAGTTGAGATTTGTTATGCTGCACACGTACATATACTCGTATACATAAACATTGTCACTGAAAATCAACGAAATCGGAGAGCTATATTAAATAAATTTGATGAGCTCATGAAAGTTCTTTCTTGCTTTTTAAAAGGAATTCGCACGTAGTTTGTAACAGTTACCCATAGACATCGTATTGTACTAGTATTATTTTCATAATTTTTGCTTTCCGAAAATTTAAAATTATAAGCATTTTTTTTATCAAACAAAAAAAGTCGTTAGTACAAGTTAATCACTCACTCACCTGTCACACGCCATGACAACGTCGCCAGTAGTGCACATAGTTTTAAAAGCAAATTCCTCCTCTTCATATTACGCACTGCTCCACTGACACTCACAAAATGACGCACTAAAATTTCGCTAAGCAACAAAGTAAAAGTTTATTAAACAGGAAAATAACACCAAACAATGTACTATAATAGTATTAACTTTTTTTAACTTTAATGAATGTATTTGACTCTTTTGCGGTTCATCACTTAAAGTGCGCAGTTGGAACACCGAAGACAAAATACTCCTCTGTAGTACATACACCGCTACATTTGCATATTTGCACTTAAAAAATTTACACAAACGGTTTTCTTTTGCTACTTGTACATATATATGTGTATATGTCTGTATGTATGTGCACATGTGTTATTCGCGAACATTTTTGTTTATTTGCCGCATTGAAATTCACACACTTCTCACTTTACAAGAGCGCTTTTGCACTTGCGCACTCATATTTGTTGTTACATTTGTTTTCTTCCTTTTCCACAAACATACTTTTTTTTTTAGTGAATTTCGCTTTTGCAAGCAATTTCGTAGTTTTGTGTTGTTTACTAAATATATTTTTTTTTTACTCTTTTTTATATGGTTTCAAATTCACTTTCACTTGCTGTTGCGCGCCGGCGTACAGGCGGGTAGTGTTGCCACCAGTTGTGAGCATATATGATTAGCACAATTATTATGAGTACAACAAGTAGTTTGAGTGAGGCATGAAGAAAGGGTATCGGAAACCAGGAAGGTAGTTCACGTTCATAAGCATATACGTACATACATATATACATATATATATATATATGTGTGTATGTATGAATGTATATACAACTGTGTGAGAAGGTATTAAATACATTCAAAAGTTTGTTTACTTTAATGAGAGCGTGTTTAAAGTTTGGCTATTTAAATAGTACATACATTTGTTCATTTGTTGGTATATGTAAATTACCGTTAAATGCTGTTACTTAATCGATTGCGTTACCTGGCCGCGGAATTGAGTCACTTGTTCGTTTAATTGCGGTAGGTTTCCGCTTGGCCGTTGTTGTTTTTACACTTTTCAGCGACACTGGCCTTTATATGTGTAGTTTCGATTTCATTTGTGTAAATAATTGTTTAGTCAAATGAAATGTAAAAAACTGGTTAAATTGGAATTTATTGATTGTTTATATTTTTTTATTGGATTTGTTGTACGTTTTATCTTTTGTAGCATCACACCAATCAATTATATTACATATGAATTTTTTATTTGCGATTATTGAGTTGTTTACATTTTGTAGATGTAATATTTGATTAATTTTACATTTTTTTAATTATTATTTATTCGTTAAAACCATTGATTTGCATGAGCAAAAAGTAATAATTTATAATTGGATGGAATTTTCACCTTAGTATACAATAAATAAATAAAAAATAATTTAAAAAAAAGAATAAAATAAAATAATTAAATTTAAAATAAAATAAAATAAAATATGTAAAAAATACACTCGGCGGACTTGAGATACCCTGACGAGAGGCGAACCCAATTAGACAAATTAATTTTCTTAAAGGGGCACATCTAGTGTGGTATTTCAAAAAAATCGATCTTTTTTCATATTTCGGTAAATTACACCTTTAAAAATAACATATTAAAATTTCAAATCAATATCTCAAATAGTTTTTGAGTTATAGCAAATTAAAGAGCAGCCGCTCGGCAGCTAGAGAGTCTCATTAGCTACGAGTGAAAACGATCATTTCATCTTTATATGCGTTTTTCTCCAAACAGCAATTTCCTAATTTGCTGCAGTGATTACTTAAAAAGAAATGATCCGATCACTATCGAATTTATTTTACATGTTCTATATATATGTAGTTCTTCGTACAATTACCTATCGATTTTTGATCTGATCAAGAAATCGAATTTTGGCAGGCCAAAAATGACCAAAATTTTGGGTAAAATTCGACTATTTTTTTTAAAACGCCGCCATAGTGTCAATTTTTGATTTTTTTTATCGTAGGTCAGTGTACAGACAATACATACATACAGAGAATTTTTTTTCTTAGATTTCATCCACGGAGAAGGCCGGAATCACTTTCGCGCCGTTGGAGATCGACTATAACTTAAAAAATAATTAATTTTTTTCTTCAAAAATTTCACTGTATATTCTTGAAACATGTATAAATATATTCTTAAAATTTTGAAATAATTGATAAAGTATTTTTTTTTAATATTAATTCCCAAAAATCACCTTTTTTTAGGCCATTACTCCAGGTATGCCCCTTAAATCAATGTAATTATAATTCTTTTTTAATTTCTTGTCTCTTAGAAGTTTTGCCAAATTTTTTTAATTTTCTAATATATTCTTTAAATTAATCCATATAAATTTAATGTTTTTAGAAGAGGGTTTTTTAAAAAAAAAAGAAATAAAATAAATACCATTAACAAAATTAAAATAAATTAAACTAAATTAATTTAAATAAAATAACAAAATGAAATAAAATATTTAAATAAATAAAACGAAGGAAAATAAAAAAAAATAAAACATTACATTTAATATTAAAAAAGAGTATAAACCGAATGGAGGGAAAGGTGTAATAAATAAATAAAATTGCAATCAAATTTAATTAAAAAAATAAATACTAAAGTCAAAAATAAATTCATAAAATTATTGGGAGCACAAAAATAATTCGGTCTGTTTTTTTTTTGATCAAAAAAGTTTTTTTATTGAAAAAATGTAAAAAAAATGTTTATTCAAAGTGGTCTCTGTCGAAACTGACTACTTTTTCCCCATCTCTCGGGCAATTTTCGAAAATCATCACTAAATTGTGAATCTTCTCTTTCCCTAATCCAACCGATTAGCCATTCTTCGATTTCTTCAAAAAACCCGTAACCGGTGATCGCCCAAAACATTTTTCATCCATTGAAAAACGCAGTAGTCGAAAGAAATGACGTCTGAAGAAAACGACAGTTTGGGTAAGACCACACATTTCAGCGTTTCCAAGTAGTTTTTGATCATTACAACTGCGTGAGACCGACGCGTCGTCCTGTCGCAAAATCACCTTGTCATGCCCTACGATCTTTTACTGGTCGTTTCTAACGCAATGTACGGCTCAAGCGCACGTTTCTCGTCAATGGTTTCGTCTGATTTCAGCACTCATAGAACATCAAACCCATTTGTTCCAGACAAATGAAAAGCATGATGTTTGAACGGTCTATGTTTTTCTTTGGCGTCGATGTAAACGATAACAGAACGTGTTCACCAGGCTTGGCTTTGTTTTTTTTCTTGGGTATATCGCTGTTTATCCACTCTTCATCTCCAATCACTATCCAGTGCAAAAACCATCGTTGTCTTTCAAGAAGTAGTTCCGAGGTGGAAACCCCTTTCAACATTAATCTATTTCAACTCGTGCGTCTTTTGAATAAATCCAAATTTCTACCAACGATTCAACGAGTTTAGTTTGCGTTTCGCACGGATCATGATCCAATAAAGCCTCCGATTCCTCATCTTCAAACTTCTTGGATAAGCCATAATGCTCTTTGTCTTCAACGCTAAAATCACCATGTTTGAAACATCGAAACTATTCTCTGCAAGACTTATCGTTCGACGAAGACTCATCGTATGCTTTTTTTTAGATTAGAGATAAAGAACAATAATTATTTTTAATAAATGTAGAAACCTTTCCTAAGAAACAGGTAACCGCTTCCAAGGTCAACCACAACTAGCAGGTGGAGCCAAATTTCGCGACCAAAATAATTTAAGTAAAATTAAAATCAAATAAAATTAATTAAGAAAAAAAGTGAAAATAAAATCGAGTAAAATACAAAATGAATTAATCGAAATCATATTAAATGAAATAAATCAAAATTAAGGAAACATAAACCTAAAATAAAATAATACAAACGATTTACTAAATTACTTCAAAACTAAAGTCAAATAAAATTAAATAATGTATATATATAATGAGAATAACACATTCAGAAATTAAATAAAATGAAAACAAAACATAAAACGTATTTATAAATAAAAATTGAAATAAAAGAAAATAATAAAAAAAATTTTAAAAGAAAATAAAGTACCAATAATATTGATGAGTGCATAAGTTCGTGCCCGATTCCGCTGGATGCCGTTCGAATCGTTTGAGAGTGGCGCTCGTGAAAGAAATATATACATATTATATATCGTTGCAAAGGTGACAGTCCGAACTGTAAATCAAGCATAAAATAACTTCATTTTGATTTGAGTTGCTTAGTGAAAAGACGCATGGAAGATGGACTACGAAAAAGATCATATGCGTAATATTATGTTATGCGAATTCCGCAAAGGAAAAACAGTAGGCGCTGCAACTAAAGATATTCGCGAAGTTTATTTGGACCGTGCTCCAGCACTCCGCACAGTAAAGAAATGGTTCGCGAAATTTCGTTCTGGAGATTTTAACCTCGAAGATCAACCTCGCAGTGGACGGCCTTCTGAGCTTGATGACGATGTTCTAAGGACTTTAGGTGCGAATAACTCACGTATTTCGACGGAAGAAGTTGCCAGTGAATTGAACGTCAACAAATCAACTGCGTTTCGTCGTTTAAAAAAGTTTGGGTACACTTTGAAGCTTGATACATGGGTGCCACTTGAGTTGAGTGAAAAAAACGAAGTGGACCGTATGTCAACAGCAATTTCTTTGCTTCGACGGATCAGAAACGAACCTTTTTTTAGATCGGCTCGTGACTGGTGATGAAAAATGGATCCTGTACAACAATGTTCAACGTAAAAGAACATGGAAACAGGCACACGAAGGCGGAACCGATGTCGAAAGGTGGATTGCATCCGATGAAGGTACTGCTGTGCATTTGGTGGGATATCCGAGGCGTGATCTATTTTGAGCTCTTGCTAGCTGGAGAAACGATCACTGCCAACAAGTATTGTCAGCAATTGGTCGAATTGAAGAAAGCAATTGATGAAAAACGTCCGATTTTGGCCAATCGCAAAGGAGTTGTTTTCCATCATGAGAACGCCAGGCCACATGTTGCAAAACCGACCCTGGCCAAACTGAAGAAGATGAATTGGGAAATCATGCCGCATCCCCCATATTCACCCGACATTGCACCTTCTAATTATCATTTGTTTCGATCGCTGCAGAACAATTTGAATGGAAAAAAATTTAAAAATGTGGAAGACGTCAAAAACCACCTTGACACCTTTTTCAACGAGAAACCGCGCGATTTCTATGAATCAGGCATCCGTAAATTGGTTGAACGTTGGTAGTGGATTGCCGAATATGATGGCGAATACATAATTGATTAATAAAAGCGCTTTCTTCAAAAATCGGGCACGAACTTATGCACTCATCCATAGAACAAAATTAAGTAAAATTAAATAAGTAAACGAATCTTGGTCAGCTGCTATTTCGATTTGTGTGGTGTATTTTTAGGTTTTTCCCACAAATTGAGGGTATAGTTTACTCTACATCCCCTCCGAAAGGCCGATGGAATTTAATGAGAATCCTTTTTATTTCATGTCAAAAATACACCCGGAGAACTTGAGATACCCCGATGAGAGGCGACCTCAATTGGAAAAATTTACTTTCTTTAAATCAATGAAATTATTTTTTATTTAAAAAATTTGCCTGATCTTAGAAGTTTTACCAACTTTTTTTAATTTTTATATTATATTCTTTAAATTAATCAATTTTAAATTAATGTTTTTCGAAGAGTGTCTTTCGGATCAAATATAACTGCATGACTTGCTTAATATGATGTTTTGGCAGAAGAAATTTCGCGAACTCATAACAAAGAAACCAAGCAATTTATAAAATTTAATCAATTTTTAAACAACACATTTATCCATTTAAAAAATTTAAATTTGAATATTTCTAAATCACACACTTTACCAACTTAATCACAATAATCGCCACAGTTTATGCACATATTTTCAGAAATCTATTATTTCCATGCGGAATATCATTTAACTCGTAGACGTATTTATTGAGAAAACACCGACCGAATTTCTATAATCAGCGTTCACACTTTGCAAGCGAAACGGCGAATGAGCTGCACTACCAACAACTCGATTTTGAGAGTTACCTTAAGCCAACTCTATTACGCTGTTGTTGTTGGCAATTGTGGTGAGATCCGACTTTCACAAAGCTGCCATGTGCGCGCCGTCACTTCACTTCAGCACATATACTCAAATATGTACATACACATACATGTATGGTCTCAGGTTACTCAAATGCGCTGTGAAGCGCTCACTCTTGTACTTATCTATGTATGTGCATACATATGTATCACTGATTGCGCTCTTGGCGCGTTGCTTATCAGCAAACACCACAAGCGATATATGACAACAAATAAAGTTTTCATTTTCATTTTTCCCTCTGCTAACTCTTCGGACTTCTGCTTTCACTGGCAGCAACAGCACCCACTTGCACACTCCTTTCTATATATAACACATACGTTGATCTGCGCATGCGCGCGTACTGATTTCATTCATAAATTTGGCTCACACGCTGTTGGTGGTGCGACTTTGGTAGCCATGACGGCGGCGGGTAGACGAGTTGATTAAAAGCGCTTAAGGCCATACGCTAATGGCAGAGAGACGAAAACAAGTTTATTAATTTTTTCCTTCCAATCGTTTGAGTATTGTGTGAACAACTAGTGCAACATTTTCGAATCTAAAACTTTTTCAAGATTCATCCACTTTTACCAAATGCAACACTTACTGCGCCTGCACCGCAGTTGTGGTGACAGATTCACGCAAAGAAGAAAAAACCACGTAGATTTGCTTGTAAATGGGAAAGCGGGAAAATATAAATAAAAGTTGTTGTTTATCCCCTTTGGTTGGATCGCTTTTTCATCTGTATGAATTTCGAGCGCTGAAAGAAAGGCGTAGAAAAAACTTAATTAAAAATTTGAATTTGGTAATGATTAATGAACTTAAAATGTTATTATTATTATTTATTAACAACAGAATAGAAATTTGTAAAAATTCCCTGAGAGTGGTAATTATTAAAAAAAACAATATAAAATACTGAAATTACAACTGTAGAAATATTCGTTGATCAATCAACATTTTTTTAAGCTCCAGAAGAGAAGCTTCAATATGGAAGTAGTTCACGGAAATAGCAAAATAATGATTATATAGGTCATAGTAAGTGGATTCAATAAATTTTGAGGTTATGTTAAATGTGTCGTAGAATATGGTTTGCATGAAGAAATAAAGCAAATATAATTTACTATTATTCTGGCCAAAAGTTTAGGTTTATTGTGTATATAAGGGCTTGTCATTCTATTTTAAAAATGATTTCAGTCAAGTGACCTTATAAGTGGGGTGTAATGCTTAACTACAAATTTCTGGGTATGCTGTTAAGGTAGCGGGGCTATACTCAATTGCTCCTCTTACGTCCACGTCGCGGACACGGAAAATGTGAGCAACTCTTGTGTAAGAGTGACGGCTAAAAGGGAGTGGAGCTACTCCGAGTTACTCGGCTTAAGGGTCCGCTGAAGTCTAATTGCCGCATCTGTTCACCAAAGGTGCAGCGGCAAGCGAACGTCGGTCTTGAAGCAAACGAGGTTGTACGCTGAGTTTGGGACTCGCCACATTGAAACCAGGCCCAATGAAAAATTTGTTCATGCCTCTTATGAGAAACCCCACTTCGTATCACAATCCCCGCAAACCTTTAAAGACTCATGATATGAGGGCATGTACCTGGAAAGCCCGGTTCCTAAATGGAGATAGATATCGCTGCCTCATAAGAATAAACGCTGACATCACCGCCGTCAAAGCCGTGCGCAAGTGAAAAGGTTCTTGCGACATCTACTGCAGCGGCTATATAGTTGGGCGCAAATTTGGTGTCGAATTTGTGGTGGGAGAGAGATTCCGTCGCCCAGTCCTGGCATTCCCCCCCGTTGGAGGAACATCTCGCCACAATCCATATCAAATCGAAACTTTTCAACATATCATTGATTTGCGCCCACATCCCGACGGAAGAGAAGGACAATTGGGCCAAAGATGCCTTTTATGAATGCCTTGAGCATACTTTTGAGGGATACCCCGGGCACGATGTGAAAATCGTGCTTGGCGACTTTAATGCAGGTGAGCAAAGAAGGTATCTTTGGTACGACTTTTGGGAAATTCAGCCTTCAAAACAAGATCGATCATGTTGTGATAGACGGAAGACATGTATCCAGTATTCTTGACGTTCTTACACTCCGAGGACCCAATGTCGACTCGAACCACCATCTTGTTGCTGGGAAGACACGCACCCGGCTCTGTGCATCAAAGAACGCCCAACAACGTCGAAAATCTGCAATCACAACAGACTGCAGAGCGGTTTTCTTATGGCTTGCACTACTGCTCTATGAGCGCACTCATCAGCAACTCGGTATAAGGGAACTGTGGGATGGAATTTCAAACTCCTTACGTACAACAGCAAATGAAACAATTGCATTTCGGAAAGGTCGTAATAACAGCTGGATGAGAATAGCCATGTCGCCGTGGAGAGAAAGCAGATTGTCTACCTCACAAAGTTGCGATCGTTCACTACACGTGCGGTATGGGATAGATACCGAGAATTGAAGAGGGAAGCAAGACGCATATGCAGACAAAATAAGAAAGAGGGCCGAAACGCATGAGTATGAAGAACTTCACGCATTGCTCGAAAGTTGTAAATGAGGCATCTCTCAGAAGGTTTCTAGACTATATGTTTTACCTGTAGATGATACACGAGGAGGTGGCGATTCCGAAACCCCAAACGACACCAATCAATTACTGGCACCGCTCAAATATGACGGTGAAGAACTGACAAGGTGGATGCCTCAGCTTCTTCGCAGAATATAGGATTGCAGATTTCATCCAAAAGGTCTTTACAACTATCCAATTGTCACTTATTGTCGAGCAAAATCTCTCCATCTGATTCTTTTCTAATCTGCAAGCTTTTTGCTATCCATCACGACTTAATTCTTCGATCAGCCAGTACTATTTTGTTTGACTCTCTGGACATTTTCTTCACGGCCGTCACTGGGTGCCCCGGGCGAAAGTCGTCTTAACAGGTCTCTCTTCCTTACTGAAACAGCCGAGCCTATTTTTTCACCATCGGAATTCTGAACCGTAGACATCTTTTTTAACAACTTTTTTTGGCGTACTTCCTTTTTTTACGAGGAATTTAATCACAGCGCGGTTGTTCCATTTGCGAGAATTTCCCGTTTCCGTTGGTATAGTGTTGTTGCTTGTTCCATTAACAAAATGTTAATGAATCTAATAAAGACACTATTTCGGCGCTGCCACCCAAGATATGTATTTTAATGAGTCACTTGCTTTAGCTTTGAGCGGACAAACTGACTTACACCTTCCTGCAGCAAAGACGGAGAACTACATTTAGCTTTCTGCATACCTCGCCATAAGACCATATTTCCAATGACCTCCTTTCGCAGGGAGCATGAAATCTTTCGGCTAAGCTTGATGAATTTCGTTCTTAGTTTGAGGCAACATGTCTGTTAGTATTATTCTGCTTGGTCGAACCTTGCCCAGCCATGTAGTTCCTTATGTACAAGTGTCACACGTGCCTAGGGGATACGAGTGTCTTATAGGTTTATAGGCTTAATTACGTCGGAAGCAGCAATACATTGCGTTAAAGATGCCTCCTCCTGAATATGCAATACCTGATTTCATAAATTTTCGTTTTTTTCACTCTGGAATGGAGGGTTAGGTGCGAGAGCATTTGAACGCAAGACCAACTGATCAAATGCATGAAAAGGAAAAGCAACAGAAACCCAGTGAACGCAATCATTTGCTTTATTCCCCACACTTTCTTCAGCTCCACATCAATTTCCTCTTACTCAACTTTGGAAATACATACAGACATACATATATACTAATGACTATTACAAAAATATTACAGTAATTATGTCAACACTTTATTTAATATATCGGCCGTCCAAATGAACGGCTGTAATGCTGTGGCTTGTCCGATTAATAACGGTTTTCATATATCTATGTAAATAACAGTGATGTGCGTGTGAATAAAAATTAAAGAAATCAAATAAAAATGAAAAATATAAGCAATATTAAGCGTTTAATAAAATGAAAAGAGTGTCATTGAAAACAAATAAACCGACATACATATATACATATGTAGATATGTATGTGTGTATGTGCATTTGTTTGATTGCAGACGTGAAAAATTCCAGTTTTATATGCAAGAAAACACACCTTCTCTAGGTTACATAGCAGCAAAAGTGCATTCGCACCTGTGCACATACACATACACAAATATTTATGGACAAACTTATAAAATCGCCTGTACGTGTATGTACATATATACATACATATGTATGTATGTTCACATCATAATCACTTCAAGTTCATTCGCTTCTTCGACCGCCGCCGTAGCCCGTTTTGTTTTTGTTTTTTTTTTGTTGTTTACTCTTGATTTTTTTCTTAGAGTTTTTTGTTGTTGTTGTTGCACTCTAACTAACTTGCAAGTAGTAGTTTCGATTACGATTTCGATTTCATACACACATACATTGTGCATATACATACAACGGCCGGAAGTATTCGATTACGCTTCATTTGTGACCAGAGCGTGTGGCATTGTTATGCTGCTCTACGCCGGCAGACAAGCGCCAGACGAAATTTTGTTTCTTTTGTTGAAAACACTAGTTTTTTATTAAGTCATTCAGTCAGATATATGTATGTATGTGTATAATTATATATGTATGTATTTGCATGCATCTATATTTTATAAACCACAAGACTTGCTCTCCACTTGAGTAATATTAAAAATGCGCGCGTGTGTGTTTATATGTGTGCGTGTGTGTTTGTTTGTGTGTGTGTGTGTTTGTGTACACACTGACCTGCTTAGAATAACACAGTTCGTTATGAATTTATGTATGTTAAGTTGTTTGCATGCCTTCGGAAAAATGTATGTCAATTGGTGTTTATCATTCCATTTATTTGAATAATTTTTTTTACTTGCATACGCTAGAGATGTTAATATTGCCACACACATTTCGGGATCCCGTCGAATGGGGAGTTATGCCGTGGAAATATTTCATTTTAGAATTAAACATAAATTCTCATATTAGAAAAATGGATTTCGTAAATTTTCAGTACCAATGCTTTTTTCTTATTTATATATTTTATTTTTTGCGGAGGTAATCTTCAAA